CTCAGGACGCCGTGGATGGATGATGGAAAGGTGCTGAACAGGAGTGTGTTTCGGAGTGGTTTAAGATGGGTCTTTAGCCTTAGCTGAGCTGGTGGGTAACCAATTTACGAAAACTTTGCCTTGATTGATGATTGTGGAAATATCATAGGACAGTAATACTGAGTTCTTAGCCACTTTGCCATTGAAAGGTATGGGTCAACACCAGCACCCTGTAAGGTGAGATACCATCGGAAACCCATTTGTTCAAAAGATTGGTTTTAGTGATAATCTAAAGGAATCCGTAGTTTTTCTCAAAGCTATGGGGAGTTCCTGTACACTTTTCCCTAAACCAATCCATTATTTTATGACCCATTGAGGCGCAATAGAATATAACATAGACCAAATATACTAAGATCATATATCCTCCAGAAAGCTAACATAGATTTAACATAGATGTGGAAATCCCCACATCATTTTCCCAACGGGAAACCATGGGCTTTCCACATCTACCGTTAGTTTACCCTAGGGTAATATCTAAAGCCAACCACTTTTCCAACTGGATCCAACTTGGAGGCTGAAGCGCAGCAGGACTTCTTGTGTCTCAGACCGCTGAAGCGACCTATGGTTGATATGTTCTCTCAGTGCTTTCTTGGGCACTTACACACACACACGCAAATATATATATATATATACATATGAACATATATTTGTTTACTTGTGGATACGTATGCTGAATGTAATTAATATGTTTTACATATATAAACATGTTTTGTTTATTGCATATGATGATATATATATATATATATAACAATCCTGAAGTAGATAGAATCTCTGGAATTTCAAAAAAAAACGGTCTGAAAAAAACCTATAGATAGAATCCCAAAATGGCTCAAAAATCCGGGTCGATGATTGGTAAAAAAAAGGTCCCTCAAAAATGATCACAAAAGCGGTCATTTAGCTTGTGATTTGGTTGTTTGGGCCTTTGGAATGACCACCAAATGTTGTCATTATGCTGGTGTATTAGGTTCTGGCATGCGAATTTCAGCCCAAAATCTTCCAAAGAAATTGTCACTGTTGCTGGTGGTTCCCAGAAATATAGATCCTTTGGCAGTGGTATTCAATAGTCAAATCCAAGAAAGGAATGGGTGTGGGTCAAATTATCACACCCCAAAATTGATAGTTGATTTTTTAAGATGTGAAATTTTGAAATTGAGCTGGGGCCAAAGTTGACCCGTACCCATTTAGCTACAGTGTGCTCACCGGACCTCCTGGAGATTTTGAATTTGGACATCGATCAAAATCGGATACTTTAAAAAGTAATCTGTATAGAATTGGGTGTAATTGGGACAGAAGGTTTTGATCCATCCCCATATTCTTCTATATTCCTTCATATTCTATCTATGGTATCAACCACTGTGCTGACCCCTCCCTACTGCATTCTGCTAACAACGGCAGGTTTCCAAAAACCATTCCATGTGTTGTAGATTCTTTGGCAATGGTATTTTTGGTTCCCGGGATGCACAAATAGTCAAACCCAATAAAGGAATGGGTGTGAGTCCAAATATCATCCCTACAAAATTGATAGTTGATTATTTAAGATGTGCAATTTTGTAATTGAGTTGGTGTGCTCACCGGACCTCCTGGAGATTTTGAATTCGAACGTAGATATAAACTGTTGGATAGTCAAACTCTATATGCATGATCATGAACCAACAGTGGTTTTGAATACAGCCCAAAAGGTATTTTCAGAATCCATAAATTATAATACCACTTTGGATAATATATTGATATAGCACATGTTGTTAAATACCACTGGGTATAATCCAATTAAGAAAATTGTCTTTGACAACATATGATTGTTTTTCCAACCGGGACCTTTTCAGGGATATTCTAACTATAGATCTTGCCAGGGGCTGACAACTCGGCTCCCCCGTAAAGGGAGCATAGCCAAAAAACGTGACGGGATTCCAGAATCCCGTCATCACCCCCCTATGTGGGGGACGCCCCGGAAAGCGACCGAGTGTGCTACTATAGTGTGTAAGGTGCACTCTGTGTGAAATATATGCTTCGTATGTGAATGATATCAAATATGTAGATATAATATGTATGGTGTTTACTATGATTGAAATATATGCTTTATATGTGAATGATATAAAATATGTAAATATAATATGTATGGTTGGATAGTCAAACTCTAGATAGAATATCCTCTAGATCCATGAAAAGACTGAATTTTTAAAGGATGCTTGGAGTTGAGCATGTATTTGTGGTGCTCCCTGCCCCTTCCTCCACATCTACCCATCCAAAGTTCATTCTTGGAGCTGTTTGAAAGCACACTTTAAAAGGAAAATGGCATTAAAAAAGTAGGAATCCAAGATCTTACCATCCAAAGTTGAAATTGCAGGTTTTGAAAAGAAACCACAAAAGGAAAATGGGATGAGAAAAGAAATAATCCACGATCTTACCATTCAAAGTTCAGTCTTGCAGGTTTTTGAATAGAAAGCTGTGAAAAGAAAAGGAGACGAGAAAAGTATGGAAAAGTAGGAACCCAAGATCGACCATCCAAAGTTCATTTTTGCTAGTGCTGTGCTAGGACAGTTGGGCAAAACTATAGATAGAATATCCTCTAGAACCATGAAAAGACTGAATTTTTAAAGGATGCTTGGAGTTGAGCATGTATTTGTGGTGTTCCCTGCGCCTTCCTCCACATCTACCCATCCAAAGTTCATTCTTGGAGCTGTTTGAAAGCAAGCTTTAAAAGGAAAATGGCATTAAAAAGTAGGAATCCAAGATCTTATCATCCAAAGTTGAAATTGCAGGTTTTTGAAAAGAAGCAACAAAAGGAAAATGGGATGAGAAAAGAAGAAACCCACGATCTTACCATTCAAAGTTCAGTCTTGCAGGTTTTTGAATAGAAAGCCGTGAAAGGAAAAGGAGATGAGAAAAGTACAGAAAAGTAGGAATCCAAGATCGACCATCCAAAGTTCATTTGTGCTAGTACTGTGCTAGGACAGTTGGGCAAAACTATAAATAGAATATCCTCTAGAACCATGAAAAGACTGAATTTTTAAAGGATGCTTGGAGTTGAGCATGTATTTGTGGTGCTCCCTGCCCCTTCCTCCACATATACCCATCCAAGTTCATTCTTGGAGCTGTTTGAATGAAAGCACACTTTAAAAGGAAAAATAGGCATTTATTCAAAAAGTAGGAATCCAAATCTATACCATCCAAAGTGAAATTGCAGTTTTTTGAAACCGAAACACAAAAGGAGGAAAAATGCGGCTGAGGAAAAAGAACGGAATCCACGTCTTACCATGTAAAGTTCAGTCTGGGACGGTTTTGAATAGAAAGCTTGAAAGGAAAAGGAGATGAGAAAAGTATAGAAAAAAGTATAGAAAGTAAGGAATCCAGATCGACCCTCCCAAAGTTCATTTGTGCTAGTGCTGTGCTAGGACGTTGGGCAAAAATATAGCATAGAATATCCTCTCAGAACATGCAAAAGACTGAATTTTCAAACGGATGCTTGGAATTAAGCATGTATTTGTGGTGCTCCCTGGCCCTTCCTCCACATCTACCCATCCAAAGTTCATTCTTGGAGCTGTTTGAAAGCAAGCTTTAAAAGGAAAATGGCATTAAAAAAAAAGGAATCCGAGATCTCACCATCCAAAGTTGAAATTGCAGGTTTTGAAAAGAAACCACAAAAGGAAAATGGGATGAGAAAAGAAGGAATCCACGATCTTACCATTTAAAGTTCAGTCTGGCAGGTTTTTGAATAGAAAGCTGAAAGGAAAAGGAGATGAGAAACGTATAGATAAGTAGGAATCCAAGATCGACCATCCAAAGTTCATTTTTGCTAGTGCCGTGCTCGGGACCGTGGGGCAAAAAACTATAGATAGATATACTCTTAGACCATGAAAGACGAATTTTTAAAGGAATGCTGGATGTGGAGCATGTATTTGTTGGGGTTCCCTGCCCCTTCCTCCCAATCTAACATCCAAAGTTCATCTTGGCGCTGTTTGAAGCAAAGCTTTAAGGAAAATGTGGCATTATTAAAAACGTCGGATGCAAGGATTCTTCCCAGCCAAAGTGTGAAATGCAGGTTTTGAAAAGGAAAGCAAACAAAAGGAAAATGGGCTGAGAACGAAGAAATCCACGATCTGACATTCAAATTCAGTTTGCGGTTTGAATAGAAAAGCTGTGAAAGGAAACGGGATGAGCACCGTACAGCAATCGTAGGAATCCCAAGATCGCCCATCCAATGTTCATTTGTGCTAGTGCTGTGCTAGGACAGTTGGGCAAAACTATAGATAGAATATCCTGTAGAACCATGAAAAGACTGAATTTTTAAAGGATGCTTGGAGTTGAGCATGTATTTGTGGTGTTCCCTGCCCCTTCCTCCACATCTACCCATCCAAAGTTCATTCTTGGAGCTGTTTGAAAGCAAGCTTTAAAAGGAAAATGGCATCTAAAAAGTAGGAATCCAGGATCTTATCATCCAAAGTTGAAATTGCAGGTGTTTGAAAAGAAGCAACAAAAGGAAAATGGGATGAGAAAAGAAGAAATCCACGATCTTACCATTAAAAGTTCAGTCTTGCAGGTTCTTGAATAGAAAGCTGTGAAAAGAAAAGGAGATGAGAAAAGTATAGAAAAGTAGGAACCCAAGATCGACCATCCAAAGTTCATTTTTGCTAGTGCTGTGCTAGGACAGTTGTGCAAAACTATAGATAGAATATCCTCTAGAACCATGAAAAGACTGAATTGTTTAAGGATGTTTGGGATTAAGATTAAGCATGTATTTGTGGTGCTCCCTGCCCCTTCCTCCACATCTACCCATCGAAAGTTCATTCTTGGAGCTGTTTGAAAGCAAACTTTCAAAGGAAAATGGCATCTAAAAAGTAGGAATCCAAGATCTTACCATCCAAAGTTGAAATTGCAGGTTTTTGAAAAGAAGCAACAAAAAGAAAATGGGATGAGAAAAGAAATAATCCACGATCTTACCATTCAAAGTTCAGTCTTGCAGG